AACTGTCGGACTCAATGCCGGTTTGATCGGCGTTTTAAAGGGAGCGAGCTGGTTCAACTGCAAAACAAGTTCTTTAGTGTATTCAGATCAGACCAGCCACCGGTTCATGATTGTTCGATCAAATTTTCTAAACATTGAGTAAAACGAATGCACCTAACTTTCGAAATATGGTACATTTCTGTATCATAAAATTATGTTAAAATGATTTATGATTTCAAAATGAAAGATTATACATAAATAATAATTAAAATAAGAAATAAGTGATAATTTTATTTTATTTCATCAAACATACTTTTTGAGCTTGAAATATGAACGAGCCGAACACTAGCTAAGCCTGGGCTCACTCGTCTTCGGCTCGTTTACACACCTATCTACACCTAAACTTGAATATTTTTTTTGAGTGAGAGACAGTGGGAGAGGGAGTGAAGGCAAGGAGCCGGCCAGTCCAAATGAATAATAAGAGGCCAAAAAAAAAAAAAAAAAACGGCCGCAAGGGGGAGGAGGGAGCAATATATGGAGGAGGAAACGATCGTATTGGCTTATAGAAGCATTTGAATGAGAGCTCTAGAAGAAGGAACGGGCCACAAGAGGCCTTATTACATGCGTGGAGGGCCCAATCGAGCCTTACCTGCTAGGTTCGAATAACTTTGGGCAAGACACAGGAATTTCAACCAAAGGTAACAAATTCATTTTAAGTTATTAAGTTTAAAACATAATTATAATTAAGGTATTATTAAATTCAAGTATGCCTAAATAAATTTTAGAAGTTGTAGCATAAAATTAATCTAATTATCGTCATTATATGTATTAATATTAATAAAATATTGTTTAAACCACCTAATTGTAAATTTCATAGGAATAAAGATGATTTATATACTTTTATGAAATTATAAATTAGGCAAAATTTTAATATGAATATATTTAAATAATATTAGTAAAGTTAGAATTAAAATGAAATGTAAATATTCTTTTTTTTCTTTTACAACAGCTCTATAAATCACACAAATTTGTATTGTTTCCGGACGTTTCTTTTAACATGCAAAAAATCATGTTTTTAATTTAAATTTAACATGCAATAAAAGAATAAAATATACCCTGAAATATAATGTACCCGTGCACGAAAATAAACATAGAAATGGAAATGATTACATATCTTTACTGTCGGTTGAAAAAGATTAAATAAATATTTTTTAGGCATGTATTTAGACAATGTCTCTCAATAATGAAAAATGTAATATAATTAAATTAAAATAGATGAAGCTAATTTCTTTAGTGTTTTTTTTTGCTGCTCAATCCTTTTTACTATGTACTACAATTTTTAAAGTATTTTAAAATAAGAATTGATGTAATTTATAAATATTTACCCATTAAATAGTTTTAACTGAACATTTAGTTGTTAATATTTTACAAAAAAAAAAAGAAAAAAAAACAAGCTTCAAGGATAAATGAACCGACAAGAGTACGTGTAAATGCGCCGTGAAGCACAAACAGATAAGCATTGTGTATTAGCTTTTATTTAGTACGTTACAAATGTTTAAAAATCCATAAGACCCTATTGTAACTTTAAATTCTAAAGATAGAATAGTTTTTTTAGATTTTGGATTTTATTTTAATTATGAAATGAAACTATTAGATAATTTTCCTCTGCCTGATCATCAATTCCCGTCTTGCTAATGCCAAGTTCCCGGGTCGTGTCGTAACAAAAACTTTCATATCACATCATAAATGCCATTATTTAGAATTTTAAAAATTAAAATACACATTCATGTATAATAGGTAAGGTGGCATGTCTGTAATGGAGGTTTGGGTGTTAGATATGTAAAAACATAAGAGTTGAGTGATATGTATCTAAATCTTCCAAAAACTTAAAAACTTCAACGATAAATACAACAATAATGCAAGATTGATGAAATATATTAAAAATTTTAAAGACTTTAAACATACATTTCACATTTTCTTAAAAACCTAAAATCTCTAAAAATGAAAAGTTGAGGGACAAAGCCTAAAACTAAAATTTGTGGAGGATAGAGAGCAAGTTTCACAAAGATTTCACAAAAAACCTGAGAAACGGTGGAGATTTGGGTCAAATCAATTTAGACAGGATGTTGGCTGCGAGCTCGCATAAGCGGAGGGAGGGGAAGAGCAAATGAAGGCTTTCGTGCGGTTGTTCAATACAAAGTAGAAAACTAGCTGATTTTCGGCGGCAATTTCTACCCAAAACAAGTGCACTGAGAACTGGCTAATCTTCCGTCTGTTTTTCGGTGGCAATTTCAGCCAAATACTAGTAAATCAAGAACCTCCGGACCGTTCGTCCGTTTTCCAACAGATTAGCGTGACAACTTCAATCGAAGACAAGCATACCAAAAACAGACCGTCCGTTGATTTTTCACCCAAAAACTCAAAATACGGGAGTTCAGCCACAATTTCTGTCAAAAAAGACCGACATGCCATGTCCGCCAGTGTTTCTGCCGGTTTTGACAAACTTTCCTGTAGTTATTAATGGCTTTAAGACTTTGGGATTTGACTAATTTGATATATATGAAATATGATGATCTCTAAAATGCAAACCAGTCATATCGATAGGTAAAACTAATAAATTTCAACATGATGGTTCTTTACCAATAGCTCAACTTTATACAAATATTTTATTTGCATTACTTATATGTGGCAAATGAACAAAAACAATACCTTCATCTATAATGATCTCATTAAAGTCTTTTATGAAGAAACCACTGGGGCATATTCAATCAAGGTTGGCAATTATTGCAAATAGATATAAGTAATGCCTTTCTCTATGGTGCTCCCACTAAAGTTGTGAAACCACGATGTTACACTGCTAAGAGGAAAATGATACAATCCCAAGTTAAAAAATCAAGAAAAATTAAAAAAATTAGTAAAATATCAGCATAACTTCTAGAAAAATTAGAACGAGCTAATATTTTTCTTCAATAATCCTAATAATTAAACAAAAATACAAAGATAAAAACCTATAATTTGAGAGGTAGGCAATCTCTCCCAATTCCTACAATTTGAACAGTAGTGAATCTCTCTCAAATCCTAAACCTAAGACTCACAACTCAAATCTCAAAATAAAACTAACCCTAAGAATAATGAATCTATTTATACCCAACAAAAATAATAATAAAAGCCTAAATTGTCTTTAGGCATACAAAATACAAAATTGTCCTTAGGCTAGGCACAAACGTTACAATACTCAACCCAAAAAAATATCTTGTCCTCAATGTGGGAAAAAGTGAATATTCCTCCACCACAACTCCTTTATTTCTTCATCATTTGCCTCCTCGTCATGCACCATGAGAACTAATAATTCTTTATCCTTGCAATGGTGTCCTGGGACAAACTTCTCATCACATCAAAAACATAACCGCTTTGCTCGCTTATCCAAAATCTCTCTGTAAGGCACTTGAGTTTTGCTCCCGATCAAAACCCATTATTCTCATGCATCGTCTCTCTGGGCTTCCACTATTTGAGTTTTTGTTACTATTGTGGTTATAGCAGTTCGATACAACCCTCCATTTGTGCAACTTCTACTGGCCTTCTCCATCTGATTGTTGTCCTCACCATTTGGGCTAGTTCCATCGTCCCCCTCAGTTCCCACAGTCTCAATAGTCGGAATGTTGTATGAATGTCGGGTTTTAGGCCCTTCATAAAATTCTCTTCCAATCATACTTCAGAAATCCCCCTTAGCTGTACCAAGAATAGCTCGAATCTCTACATATATTCCATGATAGTCCCCTCCCGAGTTAAGGAAAAAAACTACTCGAGTAAGTTTTCTTCCTGAATGACTCGAAAATGTTCCAACAAACAATCCTTAAATTGCTCCCATTAACAAATCAGATATCGAGCGTCCTTCCATTGAAACTAGGCTAGGGCTTTCCTCTCCAAACACAACCCTCCCCATCTAGCCCATTCACCGTGAAGTATCACTCCGTCAGATACACCCACCCATGTGTGTCTTCCCCCTAAAAGCTCGGCCTCTTCAACTTCCTAACCCTAACTTATCCACCCCATCTTCCTCTCTCACTATTATTTCCCCCAAAGTATCGACGATAAAATTATGTCCTTCGAATAATGGGCATATCATCTCCCTGCTCCTCTCATTTCTTCTTCATACTCCTCCCTACCTCTTGCATACTTTCTCTCCATGTTTCGGCCCAATCGCCTCCATAAAAAAACTCTAATCCACCACACTTGGAGCCTTGGGAGGATGTTCTTGAAGGTGAATGTTTTTCTCCTCATATTCCTCTCTTCCAATCTCTTCCCCTTTTGATGTAGCCAATGAATCTCTGGTCAAACCTAGGTAGGGTTTGCAACGGCCGATGGGGTCTTGGATTGCATATCAATAAGCTTCCTCATAATCACCTCCAAGTTCTATAATTGGTTGTCAATGGCATTAAACCTTTCCTTTGTACCAGATTTGAGTTGCCCCACTTCTTCCTCCAATTTCTTCTCCAAATCATTTATTTTTTTTTGTTGTTGTTACTCCCAGGAAAATTTTCAATCACAAAGGTAAAAGGATTTTTTTGTATCCTGTAATCCCTTAATTGGCTCGGTTGGTTTGGGCGGTTCAATCAAGAGTCAACTCTTGTATGCTGCTCCACCTATTTCCTCAAATTGCGATTATATGGAATGGCTTAAATCAGAAGATAGATGAAAAATGGTACACAGCGATCTGGTTGGCTAGCAGCAAGCTAAGTTGCGACTGTATCGCATCAACTCGCGCAGATCGAGTCACGATTAAAGCTTGCGGGTCTCTGTTCATCGTGATCCCCAGCGCTTCCCGTCAGTGGGGTCTTGGAGCACTGTGCGTAGTGATCTGCAACAGCTCAACTCGTGACTATATCGTGCTAATGTAAGCCACGATCCAATCAACACGGGAGATGGCAGATGCAATCCCTTGTTGGATTTCCTTGGGCAATCTAATCTCTATACGCAGCAATCCTTCGCGTCATCTATGATATCACAGAGTTCGGTCACAAAGTGTGATGATCCCCCAAAATGATGGCTCTAATACCAGAAATTGGAGCAAATAAGCTCAAGATCATTTATTGGTTAAAAAAAGCCTTTCAAGGTGGGTTTCACAAATTTCACAAAACACACAATAAATCACTCCATCTTTGTCAAACACTTTATCTGACTCTTTTACCATTGGAATCTCTTCTTTCTTATAAGCATTGCATGAGTTCTATATATCCTTAGACAGAAGAAAGAATCATCACAAAAAAGCCAACTATGCACTAAGAATTAACACTTTAGTGTGGAAGCCATTTTTAATGTTGATTATGTTGGATCAATTGATGATAAAAAATTTCACACTTACGTACAACATATTTGTGATAAATAACTTTATCACATAAAAGAGTAAGAAATAAGCTATTGTGGCTGTCTTGAGCACCAAGGCAAAATTTAGTCATGAAAAACTCTGCGTATGAAATGATATGGGTTAAGAAATTCCTTGGGAAATTTTTTCTTCCAATTGCACAGCCCATTAGCTTAAATTAGGAAATTTGGCCTTCCAATTGCATAACCTATCATCTTAAATGATAAAAAAATGTCGTTATCTCATTTAAACAATCCCATGCTCCATGAAAGCACCAAACATATTATGGTTAATCATGACATCATTTAAGAAATGGTGCTATGAAAGAAGACCATTAATCAAGTTTCCAACTCAGAACAACTAATAGATATTATTTATCAAAGCTTTGGATCCACTTCAATTTTTCAAACAATGCAACAAATTGGATCTAATTAATATATATATGCTCCAACTCGAGAGAAAATAATAGCGTTAGCATATTATTGAGGGTTCTCCTATGAAATAAGATACAAATTTCCTTTTTCGTACAAATTTCTATTTTTTTCACAGACATAATAGACCACACAAAAAATGTCATCTAAAGCCGAGTGGCTTCCCATGAATTATTATAATTTATATAATGATGGAAAAGTGGTGCATTCTAATATTAATCCATTAAGCATAAATAAATAGAAAAGAGATATTCAACCTTGTTAAGAGAATGACCTGCCAATCATATTTATAAGTCGCCTTGGCTGGCTTTCATCATCTGCTCATATAATGCAAATCCACCTCGATGGCAACCAGGCATTCTCTCCGACATCTTCAGCAGCTCTTCCTAGATAAGTGATTTCAATTAGCAATGGGAAAAATTAATATAAAATCAGATGTAAATTGGTCAAGTCAATGTTTTGACTTTGTAGAACTAACCATTGAAACATCATAAAGTTGGATGGATTCATAACCATCTTGGGCTCTTGAATACAGCTGCTGAATTTCGTGCGATCCAAGACTACAATTAATAAAGAAAAATGCAGTTGGCCTAACATTCAGGTTCCTCCTTGATATTCCAATAAAGATGGGATCAGTCTGAAAAAATTATACCACTTATTAGAAATGTTAATATCATTTTCTCCCATGCAAAAATTTTCAACAACTGTTATATTTTACCAAATTATGTTTGCATTTTGTTCATAATTTGCGCATTGCCTAGAGTTTATGTTACATATTTGGCAACTATTTATGGATGACTGTAGTGGCCAGACCGGATAAGCGACAAATGATCCATGTGATTGAGCTTAGAGATTCATGTGGTAGCAATTGAAAATCAGGAATCCTGATAAAACTCAGGCGGACTCTCTTCCAGGATTTGAGCCGGAACGAGAAATCCTGATCTTAGGATTGAAATCCTGATACCAGGATCATGATTTGTGCAAGAGGGGTCAACAGTTATAAGATGGAGGTGTTTGCCAAGGGTTTGCGTATAAGAAATTCAGATATCTTGTAAATTTCATTGACATCGTCTCAGAAGTAAAGGTTACTTTCGAAGATTGGAGATTTCACCAATGCTAAGTGAGAAGAAGGCTTGTTACCAAGGTAAAATATATTGGAAGGTTATTTTGGGGCTTCTTCTTTGTGTATGGGTGTACTAAAAAATTAGGAAGCACAGTGGGTGCTCTTATTTTGTACAAAATGATACTAGCCTTTAGCTAATGGCTGGATTTCTCTGTTCTCTCTCAAAAGTGTAGGATTGGTTAAAACCAAATGCATAAATCTTAGTGTTCTCTAAGAGATTGTGTTCTCTCTCTTTTAGGATAGCTCGTGGTTGGCCGTTCTTGATCCTACTAGCATTTTCGCACTTTCTATTGACATCCAAGTCACAAAAAACTGGCATAAGGGTACATTTTTATGGTCATGAGATTCAAAATCAAGAAGTTCGAAGGTTCAAAAAATTTTGGTCATTGGAGAACCAAAATGTGTGATCTTAATGTTAAGTATAATTTTGTGAAAAAACTCATAGGGCATGCATTTGAAGATGCCGACAACGAGGATCATAAATAAAAATGTCTAAGATAGGCAAAAAAAAAAAACAATAACAATTAACCAACTCTTTTTTGATAGATGATGTCTTAATTAGAGCTTTCAAGTTAATTGCAAAAGGTCTATGAATCAAACTGGAGTCATTGTTCATAACAAAAAAAAGTAGCTCTAACAACATTATCAAAAGCAAAGGTTTATTGCACACGTAGGAAGAAAAATCAATCAGCTCAACTAATCAATAATAAAAAAAAAAGCCAACTACAAATCCAAATTATTGTTTAAGGATTTGAAGCAACCTCTTTTGACCATGTGCTTATTATAATAATGCCAAAAGTAGTGCAACACTAACCGATTGCACATAAAAAAACCCTCTTTTTACATACCAAATATTGGGAATTCATTTTGATGGTGTCTCTCGAGAACTGATCTCAATAGTTCTCTCTGCAAATGCTTTCTATAATTCACACCTTCAGCTTGATAGCCATCCAACTCCATTCAACATACCTCCCAATCTTATGAATCTTCCTCAACACAACTTCAAACAAACAATTATGGCAACTTCAAAAGTTCATAGAATCCAACAAGCAATGCACTTACATTTAATGAAAAACACCATTATTAAAAGCTTGCCCATGAACACATACATAGCAATTATTACCAACAAATGTAATGGATCCTGTCACCAGTTCGCTCACCACAACCAAAGGACCCTACAATGTCAAAAATCTATGCACATTCATTGCCTCCATTCTGGCTCCGCTCTATGAAACCTTCCCCAACAATTAATTTTCTGCCCCATGAACTTGTCACACCATATAATAAATCAAAATCTAAAAAATGGTACTTCATTATACAAAATTACAAAATACATCATAACATCCGTATCAGCCTAATCTCCAACGGTATTACATCCCTGTCAGCCTACCATTCCTACAAACCTAGCATAGAAGTCTTTAGTGCAACTATAAATACACCATTCAAGGATTACACAAAGTAGGTCATAACTTCTTTATTAATTACCAAACATTCTTCATATCACCTCTAATATAGCTCAATTGAGGATACTCCCTTGACTTTATTGATTAGAGGCTTTATTGAATATATATCTCCTAAAGTCCACCGAAATCTTTCAACAAAACCTAGTAAAAAACCTAAGTGCTACCAAAGACTCTATTCTCTTCTTCCCGTCTAATGTAACCACTTAACTCTGCATTCGACTATAGCCTCCTATAATTGTAATTTCATCCCTTTTAACTTCTCTTTTCTTGACACTCTCAAGAAATCTCTATAAGCATACAATGATGCTACTGTTATACTCTAATGTTAGCATAGTGGAATATTTGCTCTTGTTTTCTCTGAGAATGAGTATAGGTCAGTAAACCAAACTACTATAAATCTCTGCTCACTTCTCCGTGTTATGTTCTCTTTTGTATCTTCTCATTAGACTAATCACAAATTAATAGTTTCTCGTATCTTTCTATTTGAACCACTAAGCATCTTTTGCCTTCTTAGTCAGCGTGGGAAAGCAAGTTTTAACACTTCTCATCATTTTGAGTAATTGCAATTATATAGCTATTGCGCGCATTAAATATCTTTTTTTCTTTTTGAAAAAGGACAGACATGAGCTTCCTTACAACTACACACTAAAAAAGATTTGGCAGTAAAAAGTAGTCTCCCCTCATAAAATTTTTTGAAAAGCAATGAGAAAGTAGTAGTCAAATGTAAAAGCGGTCTGAAAAATAAACCAATAAAAAGGCTGCTCCAAACAAACACTAAAATTAGTTTGATTCATTTTTTGCAATTTGAAAAAACTTGATGTGATTGTTGATGATGAGGATCAAATTGGATTAATCTTGTGCTTAATATCTCTCTCATATAAACATTTTTATGCGATGTATATGGGAGGGATACCATAAGCTTAGAGCATATTAAGAATCAATTTTTGTCAAAAGATGTGACATCTATGCTTGAGGGTGTAAACGAATAAAAATGGGGTGAGGGATTATCCGTGAGAGAACAGGACAACATATTGAGAAAAGGACAACCTCTAGAGAAAAGTTTGGTGGTAAGAACAAGTCCAATATTATTGGAAGATACAAAAAAAAGTATTAAGCTAGGTTAAATATAAATGAATAAACGAAAAGTAGCAATTTAGTGAAAACCATCATAAAGACAGTACAGCATATTGAAAAACCAATATAAACTAACAATGTTATTTTTGTGATTGCAGGTTACAAAAGCAGTGTTCAATGGGTACTAAACTCGATATGTTCTCATATGTCTCATGATTGATCGTTGTTTTATGACAATGGATCAAGAAATCCGCATATGCATGTAAGAAATAATTTTGGTGGACTATAGGTCTTGATGCTCCTTATACAAAGATACATTACACTGTATCTAAGGGTCTGTTTGGGGCAGTTGCAAGTGTCTGAAGAAGCAGCTGTGAAGCTGCTTAAGAAAAAATTATTTTCAAAAAGCTACGGCGGTTGCTAAAAAAAAAAAAAAATTGAAAAAAATATGACTGCAGCTTTCTAGCAGCCACCGCAGGTAGCTAGGTCCAATAAGAAAACATATTTTTTAATTGCATCTTTTTGAGAGTGCGAGCAAAACTTAGTTTTTCCAAACAGGAAAACTGCGGTGCAGCACCGCACCGCCGCCCCAAATGCATGATAAGACTTTAACTGGGATAAGATATATACATGATCTGAGAAGGTGCAATTCTTTTGGATGTTGAGATACAAGATTTTTAATATTCTTTAATTGTATGTAAAACTAGAAGATTAAACAATCATGTTTATTGCAAGTTGCATCTTTAGGGGTTTCTTTGGTGATTTCTTCGCTACATTGGAGCATCACATTTTGGATGAGAAGAATTCCGGTCAAGTTGGGTAGTGGTCCTACAACTTTTATACTCCAAACAGTGGCTTTGGAGACTCTGGACAGCAGCCTACAATGCCCCTATAATCTAAATAGTGGCTTTAGAGCCCTGGACAGCAGCCTACAACATCCCTATACTCCAAACAGTGGCTTTGGAGCCTTGGACAGCAGCCTACAGCGCTTCTACGATACTGGGCAGCGGCTAGGAGCTTCAGTTAGTGATCCTATAGCTGCCTACGATCCAAGACAGGTGCACTTAAAGGCTCCAAAATCAGTGGAAAGTGCAACCCTGACATACTTCTCCAAATAGTATATGTATTGAGCTAAGATCGTGAAGCTGCCGACAAACTTTAAGGCTTCCCATGGGTTGTCTAACAGCGGGATCTATGAAGGCAAACTCATCAAAACAATGATCCATGGTGCTCAAAATCAACTCTTATGGCTCGTCCAAAATCAGCGTACTTGAGAGCTCTAAAACACCCTATGCAGCCCCAAAACCATGGTCAAACATGCCACCCAACAGTCCCAAAGCTACGCTCAAAACAACCGTAAAACAGTCCCAAAATCATACTTTTGAAAGCTCCAAAACTGCAACCAAATAAGCCATGAAAATCATCCAAGAATGCTAAATAAATAATGCCCCCAAATCCCTCACCAAAACTATGTAAAAGTGCAACTAGGGCAGCATATGAAATACTTAAGAGCAAGACTCTCTCCAATAAACATAGCAAGTGAAGTTTAACTTGCTCCAGGCGGGATAAAAGAAATGAATTATAGCTATGACCCTAAACCTTGGTACATGAGTTTCCAAAACACATCAACAGATTATGGCCAAATGAATATATAACAAATGTTTGAATAACAAATCTATAAGAAAACTGTCATAAGCAAATCTTTACGTCATTTGTATTTTGAAAACTCTTATCCTATTAATTACTGAAAGTTTAGCGATTAATGGTAGATGCAAAAGTTGGACAGTGGATAAAAGGCACACTACAAAAATAAGTATTATCATGCGTCATGTTCTTTGCAGACCACAAACAATTACTTAAATCAATTTATCTTCACCAACAAACTCAACCTCATAGCAGTGCAAAAGAAAGTTACCAACAATTGAGCTCCAGAGACATACAAACAGGGGCATACAAGTTTCATATCATCATTTAGTTAGCAACAACAACAACAACAACAACAAAGCCTTAATCCCACTACGTGGGGTCGGCTACATGAATCCTTTTTCTCCATTGCGTCCTATTGAGTGTCATATTTTCATTTAGTTCTAGTAAATTAAGATCACAAATCCTTAAGTAAACTGCCATAAGCAAATCTTTACGCCATTTGTATTTTGAAAACTCTTATCCTATCAATTATTGAAAGTTTAGTGATTAATGGTAGATGCAAAAGTTGGATAGTGGATAAAGACACACTACAAAAATAAATATTATCATGCAACATGTTTTTTGTAGATCACAAACAATTACTTAAATCATTTTATCTTCATCAACTAACTTAACCTCATAACAGTGCAAAAAGAAGCTACCAACAATTGACCTCCAGGGGCATACAAGTTTCACATCATCATTTAGTTAGCAATGTGGTAAAAAAAAAATTTCTATAGTCGGCTCAAAGCTTTTGAACGAGAAGAAATTCGAATAAGGAATCTTACCTGGGAAGATGATGATCTCGGGATTTGAGGAGTGAGAAGAGGGGAACCGGGAGCCTTCGGTGAAGGAGAGGAGGGAAGGCGAGGCGAGGATTCTGTCAAGAGGAACAGAGTGAGGCGAGGGCTTCAGCGTTGAGAAAAGAGGGAGTTCGGTCAAACACAAGTCTCCGTCGCAGAGAGGAGAAGCGAACAGGAGCTTCGATCGGGAGCTGCGATCGAGTCGCTGAGGAGGAGCGGGATCGAAAGGAGCAGGCGTCGAGCGGGGATCTTCGGTGCAGCAAGGAGTCAAGTGAGGGTTTCTGTCGAGCAGGGGAGACGAGCAGGAACTTCGTTCGAAAGAGCTGAGCGGAAGTGAGCGAGCAGAGAGGAGCTCGGAAGAGGCAGAGGAGGGAGACGAGCGGGACAGGGGGCGTTCGGTCGAGTGAAAGCTGAGAGCGTTAGGGCAGAGTCTTTGACGCAACAAAAGGGGTCGAGCGCTTCGTCTCTTCCTGTCGAGCGAGATCAAGCAGAGAAGTCTCGGGAGAGGAAGAAGGTGAGCGAGAGAAGGTTGGCGAGCAAAGGGAGCCAAATCGAGCAGACCTCAGAGGAAGAAGACGAGACTTCCTTTTAGAATTAGAGCGGGGTGAATTAATCAGGAGTCGTTACGTGAAGCTTGGCAGGGAAATAAATGTTTTCCATAAGCAGGGCAGGTTCAATTGGAAAGCATTATCACCTGAATATTTTTAATTAAGATAAAATTTAAATAATTTGTTTGAATTTTAAAATTTGAATTTCAAATTCAGATGAGCTGGTAGCTTGTGTTTAGCCCGAGTCCAGTCTGAATCAAACCCGAGTCGAACATGGGTTGAGCCCGAGCCCGAGCCCGCGCACTGTTAATTAAAAAAATGTGCATTGATATTCGTGTCAGTCACTCGCGTGCGAAACCATAACAATACGGGTGTCCTTCGTAGCTAAAGTCGACATCCCAGACGCATCTGTGTGATCCGTTTCGTCATCCAACGTTGTCGGGACGAGTTCGCCGACGGACGAGTCAATTTAAGTCAAAACCGTGCAGAGTGCGATGCGTGTGCAAAATGCAGCGTTATCGAGTGTTCGGGTCGCAAGAAGTTCCCTAAGGGCTGCTCCTATTAATGTAGGAACTCAGTTTTCATGTGTCGGTCCTAATCAACTCAACGAAATGCCAAGAATTCGGGACCGCCCATGCGAGACTCGAAGGAGCGACGAGGTGACTCGAATTTTCTAAATGGCGTGGGTTCGGTACTAGTCCTCTAAAAGAGTTAAACAAAGAAAACCTAAGACTGGACCCTATGCTCTAAGAAGAGAAGTAAAGACCTCACCCAAAAATGAGGTCAACAGTCCTAAGCCATTAAAAGCATTATAATCCTAAAGTGTTGGGCCTATAAAGGAGGAAACACAATAAGAATTATTATATCGACTCAATTATGTTCTATATACCCTGCATTGTATCAAATCTATATTACATTGCATGGGATCTATTTATGGAGGAAATGGATTAGATCATTGACAACACGTTGATTCCTATAATTGACCCCTAGAGTTTCATGTTGCTGCTCCTGAACCATGAATCCCAATACACCTCACGATGTGTGCACAACAGGGGAATCCTATCCTCAAAATTTAGGCCAAATGTGGGTGATTAAAAATGAGAAGTCCCAATCTCAAGATTGGCCTCCCAAAGCTAGCTTGAGAATCGTGAAAGAAGGGTCAGCATCCATTAGATGAGATGTCTGTCAAATATTTATGTCAAATAATTAAGATATCTCTTAATTCTCATTAACATACCCTCTTGGTGGCATTGGAAGATTAGTGATTCATTTGAAAGCTCCATTTTGACTGAATCGAGAGATCATTGGCGGGCTTCAATTTTTTTTGCAAGGGTGTGCTTACAAAATTGAGAAACGCAGTGTGTTCTTATTTTGTGCATCAAGAATATAGCTTCTTTAATATTGAATTGAATCTCCTCTCCTCTCCTTTTGACGTCAGTCCAGTTGAAGTTGAACCACGTAAATCTTGATGTTTACTCTGAGAATGTGTTTTCTGCTCATATTATGTGATAGAAGGTAGAGTATCATTCAAAATCCTAGCGATTGTACATTAGCTTTTTGCGCCCACATTATAACAGCTACTGTACATGTGAACATGATTTACTACCTTTCTTTCATATTCCTTTCACATTAATTATTCCGGTCCACTCTTTAAAGGTCAATATATGCAAATGATTTCCAAAATTCAAAATTCTAGCGAAATAAGTCAATATTTTGTAAAAACGAAAAAAGATGTCTTTCATATGTTTAAGCATTTAGCCATGTAAAATGTCAACCACAAAAAATGAAAGTTGAGGTGTAGATTTACCAATGATTCTGCAGGAACTCCAATTTCTTCAACCACTTCACGAATGATACCTTCAAACATCTCCTGAGAAATCTTGCCATTTAATACTTCATGATCTGTTGAAATTTTGTTGGTTTGATGGGATGAAACGCCAACTTCTGCAGGCTTCAAAATCAATAAAACCACAAATCCATATAAAAAGAGTACATGTTATTATTTAATGGACTATGTAGATGAAAGAAGATCATGAACTGAGGAACATCAAAGCCAACATAAACATAATAACAAGAAGAAACAGATAAGCCACTAGCTCTGTGTTAACAAACACATGCTTGCTAAGGATTACAAAGATATAAACCACTGATGAAATAATAAAAGATGAAATTCATAATTTTTAAAATAAATACAAACATAATTATATAATCAATTTCAGTTTTTTATTAATGCTCATGGGTAAATAAAATTTGTAGGGCCTGATGATATCTCAATTGAAGTGTGGAAATATTTAGGGGATTTGGGAGTCTCTTGGCTTACAAAACTCTTTAATATTATTTAAAAAACTAAAAAGTTGCCCGAGGAGTGTAGTAAGAGTATTTTGGATCCCATTTTTAAGAATAAAGGGGATGCACAAGAGTGTGCAAATTATAGAGGAATTAAGTTGATGTGCATACTTTAAAATTAGGTAAAGACATTAAAAAGATTTCTCATAATAAATTTGGATTTATGCCGAGTAGGTCTATTATGGAAGCTATAGATTTATTGAGAGGTTTGATGGAGAAGTGCAGAGAGAATAAGGAAGATGTACATATGATTTTGATAGATTTAGAAAAAGCTTACGATAAGATTCCAAGATATATCCTTTGAAGAGTTCTAGAGAAAAAAGGGGTTAATATGACCTATATTCAATTCATTAAAGATATGTATACTAGAACTATTGCTTGTGTTCGATCAGAAGGAGGATTGACCGAATAATTTCTTATTTCGGGTGCATAACATCAGCGATCAGCTTTAAGCCCATATGTTTTTGCTTGAGTTGTGGATGCTCTTAGTGGACATTTGCAAGAGGATGTACCTTTGTGTATGCTCTTCGCTAATTACATCCTTCTTGTGGATAAGACTAGAGAAAAAACTCAAGAAAAAGTTGAATTATGGAGGTCTACTTCGGAGTCTAAAGGTCTTCATTTAAGTAGAGCTAAGACTAAATACATGGAATACAATTTTAGTAGTAGTAACTCTAGTGACAGAATTGTAAATATGGATGATCAAATTAATAAAAGGTGTGAACGTTTTAGATATCTCAGGTCTATTGTTCAAAGTGATGGTGATATAAATGGGGATGTTATTAATAGAATTTATGTTGGTTGGTTGAAGTGGAGAAATGCATCGGTCTATTGTGTCATAGAGAAGTATCACTTAGACTGAAAGAAAAACTTTATAAGATGGTGGTGAGACCTGCAATGCTCTATGACGCAAAACGTTAGCCTTTAAAATAGAAGCATAAAACTAAGTTAAGTATTGCCAAGATGATAATGCTTAAGTTGATGAGTGGCTTTACACTTAGGGTCCGTTTGGCACAGTTGCAGCAGCGCTGCCCCAGGAAGCTGCCGCAGGAAAGCAGCTGCGGGGAAGTTGGTTATCTGTTTGGTGCCGCTGTGTGAAAATAGCTGCAGAGCAGCTGTTTCTGGAAAAATGATAATTCTGTCATTGTTTGCTAAAAATTTTTAAAAGATGACTGTAACAGTGAACTTTTTAAACTCCGAAAGCAAAATTTATTATGAAATAAATTAGTAAAACTTCAACGTGTTAATTATGTAATAAATTTTATTATTGGGTAATTAGTTATTAATAGTTATGTAATAAATTTATAGGATTGATTAATATATTTTAAAATATTTACTTGTTAGATAGGTGAGCATATGAAATAAAAGACTTGTTATAGGAATATTGTTATATTCAATGGCATGATTGTTTTAAAAATATATTTCCATTTAAGATTTAACATATTATAAATAAACTAATCAATTTAACTATTTTTTATCAAATATCGATGATAACTTAAAGAAAATCAATTAAAAGGATGTGTGGCCAATTTTTTTCCCTAAGTTGAAATACTCTATCATTCATAACATTTATAACATATCATGGCCAGACTTTGCTCAAGTGGTGTTTTCCATTCTCGATCAACATCATCTGGGGAATCAATCAAACCATCTGCCCAACGGAAGAATTTGCAATGTTCGGCGATGCTCCGTGGGCAGGTATAGAACTTCCTCCCATAGTTGTGTTGTTGGCGTGACGTCAACAGTGAGGGTTTGAGGCCACAGTAACAGAGTGTTTGTCGGGATGTCCCGAAAATCTGTGAGCCCGTCTTCTCCTGAGTGCAGCAAAATAGAAAATAATATTCCAGTTGTAACAAGATCTTTATTTGTAAATGACACATTTTATTAGTACGACAGAGATATACATTGAATGAGAATATTTACAAAGTATAAGAAATTGAGGTATCCATCAATCCAAGTATGAATTTTTATTTACAACAACTAAATAAAACAAATTAAATAAATCAATAAAGACAAAGGGTTTAATGTGATTCGGTCATGTGGACCTACATCCATGGGAAAGGAATCATGTATATTCATTATTGTAATAAAACAAAAATATACATCGCTTACATTCAACAATGTCTCATTGGCAATGCTAAGAGATGAAAAGTAGATCATTTTCATACATTTACAACATATTCCTTTCCTGGTGAAAAAAATAAAATGATGTCTTCCATATAGCTTTGTCATAACAGAAGAAAGGCGTGTTGTCTCAATTCTCTGAATTCTTTTGAGCAGCTTAACAAGAAATTTATAAATCATGTTTCATTCTTGCATCCAAACAACCTTCAAGAGCATGATCTCTTCTGGTCAGCTGAATGAGTTGAGGAAATGTCTACGTATTTTTATATGAAAGTTCAGGTGCTAGAAGATAGAAGTTCAGGTTTTACTCTTGCAATCATAGACTTCCCCAATGGTAGGAATTGCAGCAACATGTTTACAGGTTTTCATTCAAATTGCAGTAACATGTATAAAAGGAGCAGACTTCATAGACAGGAAAATTCATCCATCGTAACATAAGCAACCACAAGCCCCATAGGACTGCATTCAATATTCATTGCAATTAATATTTACAGGTTTCCAAATCAGTCCAAAATTCATTCACTTAATGTTTACAGGTTTTCAAAACATCCCCATTGGACTGAATTCAATATTAATTGCTTTTTAAAGAGAGCAGCTTTCCTAGGTAATGACAATAATGGTTGCTTAAAAATTTAAGTCATCCTAGAGTGCCTCACCAGAATCCAAACTCCTAGCAATGTCTTACTCCATATCTTTACAAAAAATCCAAATAAATTGCATGCAAACAAGCTTTAGTGGATAAGAAATGCACAAAGAAAAATAATTAATGCTTTAGAAAATCCAAGAGTATTGATAAGTGTAGCATGATATGATTGTATATGCCCTCCGGTTCCCTTCCTTCGCACGACTCGACAGCCCTAACAGCGGCTCGCTGCAACGGCTCCTCTCCTCTCGACAGAGCCACAAAACTCTTGTATACTCGCCTTTTTCTAGTGATTCGTCTTTTTTTTCTTCTAACTGACTTGCAGGGCTTCTCTTTGATGGTGATGGAGCTTCCATCTTCGATCGAACCTGGCAAAAGCTCTTTTGCCCACGTGGTGGGTAATCCTCAAGGGGAGACGGTGGTTGTCTTTCCTTCAAGTTATAAGAAGCATCGTGATAGTACAGGTGACTGTCCCTTTATTAAGAATGCAAGCAGAAAAAGTGGGAAGGTAACTCTTTTTCTCCACGTCAAAAATTTCAACGCTGACTGACAAATTCAAATTTGCTCTTATTGGAAAATTTCAGTGGGGACACCCACCTATGGAAATTATCAGAAAAAGTTTTCATGACCTCAACTAACAGGAAAATGAAAAGTGAGGCTCGTTGATGGGAGGCACGTGATGATTCAGTTAACCGTGCTTGAGGACTGCACACGGATTTTCTCCAGAAAATATCTTATCATCGTTGGTAAACCTATGAAGCTACTTAAGCGGTCTATTGATTTCAACCCAAATCATGAAACTCTCACTGTACAGTATTGTCTAATTTACCTGGTCTCAAGTTGCATTTTTTTCACCATCAGGTTCTCTACTCTATTGTGGTCATCCCTGGGGATCCTTTGAAGCTAGATCTGCCTACTTTCAACCTAACCAGACCCTCGGTGGCCAGAATACTTGTGGAAAAGGATATTACTTTACCTGATGTTACTGAAGTTTGGTTGGGCACAACCCATAATGATTATTGACAACAAATCGTCATGGAGCATAGACCCCCATATTGTACCCACTGTAAGATGTTTGGTTATGTCATTGATAAATGTCACAAGTTTCATCAAAATTTGAAATCTAAGGTTCAAGTGAATAAGGATAGGTCTATCCCCACTGCTCTGGACATTTTAGTTCCACTTGAGGAGGATACTACCAGACAGGAGGTGACTGTTGCCCCTGAGGACCACCCCCATAATACTGATGTTACTGTCACTGCGAGTGATGTGATGTTGGCATCTTCAAAACCCATAGAAAATAATATTGATGGACTATTACCTACAAATGTTAGTGTTCAGACTGATAATCAGGAAAGCCTCGTAACTCCACTTCTTCAAAAAGTATCCGGTGTAGAGGCAACTCATAATTCACATATACTATAGCCTATTGTGGGTACTACGGTTGGTATTCTTTCTGCTTCAGCTCTACCGCCCCATCAGTCATACCACTCCATCAGACTGATTCATCAGATGAGGAATGGAAGGTCTATTCCAAGAGGAAGAAGAAGAATGGAGGCTGACTCTAGCTCGGGAACATATTGGAAGATAGATTGGTTACTACTGGCAATGGCGATCATCTTACCAGCTTATTAGCTTGCTCCTTCTCTAAAACAAGAGGCAGAGGTAAGACCAAAATGGGTCTCTCTCTAGCCGCCTGATTCTATGTATTTTGGCACTGTTAGGCATTTTATTTAAGTATCTCATGTATTTTTTCTGACTTTTTTAGTTTTGAAACCATTTGTGATTTTTGTGTGGGCAGGGTGTCATGCTTAGGCCCTCCCACACATTGTATCTGTATCTTTCTTTCTATTTAATATATTAGCCTTTTTGGGCTTTCAATATATATATATATATATATATATATAAATGAAAAAAAAAGAATGAAGGATAACAGGAATGAAAGCAAAAAGGAAAATCAGGTTTGATCGGCCTGTCTCCCTGTCTCCCTGTCTCATGTGCTGGAGGGAGTCGCTCGGCTTACCTCTGCGTCCGAAGCAGGGCACTCCCACGTCATCCATGCTATAAAAAATGCCAACTGCCCTCAAAGTAAAATGTCTGCCCATTGTCCAAAGTGCAAGGTGCTACTCTAGGGAGCAATTGCATTAAAAGATAAGAAAATAAACCTATTTCTGTCATGAACAAGACATTTGAGTATAAAATAATAATCATATTCTTGACTTATGTAGGGTAAATCACTTTTTCGTCCTAATAGTTTGGCTTTGGTTCCACTTTGAACCTATAATTTGAGTGGTCCCAATCAAGCACTTATGATTAAAATCATTATAACTACATCCAAAACTAGAATAACATAATAAAAATGCCAAATTGTGTCCTAACAAAAGTAGAATGTTGACTTGTCAAGCTGGCTTTTTGGTAGGTTTTAGGTGTTGGACTTTACATACTAGGTAAGCATTCTGTAATTTCACGTGGATGGAGTTTAGCTTCTATTAATATCATATATGTTTTGGATGTGACTGCAATAATTTTAAATTTATAGGGGCTTAATTGGCACGATTGAAATTTTAGGGGCCAAAGTGGAACTAAAGCCAAATTATGGGAATTAAAAACTAGTTTTCCTAATTTTAAAGTTTGCTTCATTCCAATTTCCTGGATCTTGCTAAATATAATCACAAATAATGTACCCAAAAGATGTGTTTAAAAAACTAAAAGATCTGAAATACTAAAAACTCATAGCATTTATAGCCAAAGTTAATCTAACTTCATTGCTATCTCTTCTATCTTCGACGTCATTTATGCCCTCCATCCCTTTATTTCTTCAGACTTAACCTCTTATTCGTCAGAATTTTGAAACTTGATGCACTTGCAACTACAATTCATCTACATTTACTAATATACATCCTTATTTCTCCACCTCATTCTGTTCTTTCCACATCACCCATATGGCAACTTCTGCGGTTAAAAAATATGGGCATTTACATGTATACCACTCAATTCCTATGTATTTACTTGTCGAACAACTAAACTTGTCATTTACATTCATACCACCCAAATCATTCATATCACATAAAAATGCACTTTTCATGCATAGCAAAGGTGACAAATATTTAAAAAATGAAGCTAGGTGTTAGATATGTAAATCTTCCTAACAATAAGCACTATGTCTCTTATCAAAGCAGGATGTGGCCTCACGGCCAAGCATCTTAAGAATGAGCACTCGCCCGCCTCACAGGCATATTAAATGTGCATTGCCTCACCAATATGCCTAGACGAGTGCCTACCTCACATTTAACAGCCGTTTCTAAAATAAACATGAAGCTAAAATAAAAACAAGCGAAAGCTTTGATGCTAATAAGAAAGAAGTTATTGTTTTGTATTATAAGAAAAGATGGATACCTCTGAATGGCCTCCGGGAAAAACGAAGTATCCTGGAAACTCGCCAACATTGTGACTTCTTTGCAAGACAAGTACCCTTTTATTAATTGTTTCAACAATAGCTCCATTACCCAGGGGATTAGCCAAGTATTGACAAGTTACGGAACCATCTGCAGATAGTTGAGATGACAAAAAAGTATCTTTATGATTCATTAACTTTATAAGCATTCAAATAAAGTGAGTAATAATACATAACCTAAAGAAGCTGCAAACCCAATAAAATTCACTCGCTTAATTTATGCACCGACAAGGATCAAAAAAATAAAAAAATATAAACAAAATAAACATCACAACAAAGCATTCCTTGAAGAATGAATTCTTAATTTTTTTTAAAAAAATTGAAAATTAGAATAAGAATAGAGAAGATTAAAATGGGAGATTTTATGATAAATTTTAATTCCCTTATTCAGTAAATATACAAAAATAATAACATGTATATAAATAAAGTGGAGAAACAACTATCACGGAAAAAAAAATATTAAAATCAGCCTTTAATTCTATAAACAATAATTAACTACACAGCAGAAATGAAATATTGTTGTTTTGCCAGATTGTTGTAGATGAAAAGATTCATAGATTATTAAATTTCTGTGAATGAAACGCTCTTGTCAACAAATTGTTGAATTGATGTAGATAAAAAGTTGCTATCCACAAATTTAGAATTCTTTCAAAAATACCCTCAAGTTGGATTATATATTTTGATCACGCCCAATTTGTTGATTAATTGTCAAAAATCATTTGCGTTAGCTTTAGTGATGGTATATGTAGTTTAAGAGTTTGTTGGAGAATAATTTAATTAGATTAGTCTATTTTCAATTTTATTCTGAGATGAAATGTTGGCCTATTTCAATATGTTCAATCATTTCATGATAGACAAAATTTTCTGCAATCTTAATGATAGAATAGTTGTCACATTTTAAAAATATTTTTAAATTGAAATTTTAGTTCTAATAATAATTTTAACCAAATTACCTCCCAAATATCAAGTATCGCTATTTGATATTCAACTTCAGCCCTGCTTCTTGAGATCACATACTGTTTCTTAATTCTCCACATAAAAGTACAATAACTAGAGGTGAATACTTGGTATGACGCATCTCCAACCCAATAAACATATGTAATTTTCTTTTTTTTAATTTATAGGCCTTTTTGGGGGTCATCTTAAATTACCTTAGACTGAGATTCATAGTCTCCATTTGGCCTTTAATAGGGTGTTCACATATTGGCTTACAAACCCAATGGGGAGCTCAATATCAGGACAAATGAGGATGAGTTTCTCAACAAGTTATTTATACCTACCTTTATCAATAGGCATGCTATTAATGATAATCCTAGTTTTATTATATATATATATATATAGAGAGAGAGAGAGAGAGAGAGGGGTGGGGGGAGGTGTTCCATTGAGGCATCTATGGGCTTACATCCAAAAATTTTTTTTTTCTTGAAGAAGATCAAAAATATACTTCATCTGAGAAACCATAATACCTTAATTTGATCGTGCTAGTTCCATATCAAGAAGTATTTTGGTTGTTTATAAAAAATATAGGCATGGCTAAAAAACTTCATTGGTTTATCGTAAATTCAAGAAATATTTATAAATAGAGGTACAAAAATTAAATTAGGAATCAATAAATAATTCTAGGAAGAGTAGTAATTCTATAATTAAAAATTTAGAAGGACCGTTACATAAATCCCCTAATTGAATCCATGGGTTTCATTTGTTAGCCATCTTTACAGATTAATTCCTCTTAAATTCATGGCCCTTATCTTTGCTTTCTTGGCACCAGTTTTGCAAATAAATCCCGGATGAATCTGTAACCCTCATCTTTCCCCTTTTTTTATATCCCACCAACCTTTGTTGAATCCAGGGACTTTGTATTATGGCGTGTGTGCCATTTCCTATTGTAGCTGTCTGACACCTACTTTTATTAAAATTTACATTCTTCAACACTCCGCCTAAAACATAATAGTAGAAATCTATTATTCTCAATTATCTAGAATACTTTTAATGTAGAATTGCAAAATTATTTGGTAAATATATCAATGAGTAGACTGCCATTTGGGACACAAGAAGTGCAAATCAGCCCACCCTACAATTTTAGAAGAGCGTTTGAAATTAAAAATGGGCTTTTAGTGGATGCAAAATCTTTTGTTTGTGACTTTACCTTGAGGGATAACTTTTTAGAAGTAGAATCTTAAACGCTACCATGCACTGCCAATCATCCTCTCATAGAACAAATTTTGAAAGTGAAGATGATATATATCAAAAACTGGCAACAAAATTTGTATCAAGTGAATTTATTGATTTATAGTAAGTCACAATCCAGGTTTGACAATAGAAGCAAAAAATCAAGTGTCAAATTTTTTGAGAGAAAAATAGAGAATATTTCAACCATTTTTAACAGTAGTTATCTGCAATCTAGATATTATAATTTTTATGGCATGAGTTGTAATATGTTTGTTTCCTATCATATGATCCAACACTTTTTGAGTTTATAATCCAAGTAATAGCTATGGAAAAAATTTAGAAATTCCAATACCAGTGTGACACATTATGGATGTTGAATCTTGATAATCGGACTACTGGATTGGCTTTGTTAGATTGTAGATTTTATGATGATTAAATTATATAACTTTTCTATTTAGGGTGTTGCATTATGGATGAGGAACCATAATGATGCAATCCAAAAAGCCTGCTTCTAATTATTCATCTTGAGACTTAGTTACATTAGTTTAGTTTGCATTATTTATTGCCATAGTTATGTCATCATCCTTATTTATATTTTGATATTCGTTGGTTAATTGTCATTTGGACATGCTAGACATTATCTTATTGTTATTTGAGTTACATTTTCCAAAAAAAAAAAAAAAGAAAAAGGTAACTATAGTTACTACTAAATCGTACGCCTGAGATTATAATTGACGATGGTTGATGCTAGAAGAACGACTTTCTATTACAATTCCCTTAGTACTAATTCATTACACTCTCTCCATGAAGTTTTTTTTCTCCCTTTACCTCTAGCCACCCAAGCGTCAAGCATCCATTCATCTTTTATCCTTAATATCTTCTTGTTTGTACCTCCCTTGCGAACCATCTGCACTGAATTCATCCCTTCTCAACAAGCAAGCAATTAAAATCCACCACATTCATCAATTCCACCACCCATCGCAGCATCAACTGGTTCCAGAGCTAAAGTAACCAAATACAATTGAGTTATTGACGAAGGAATTTCCATTAAAATGTATTCTTATCAGGCATCGGCTTCTTTTTCACTTCACTTTGACTTCTTTAGTCATCCAACACCAGACACATTCCCAATTCCCTAGCTAACCAACAGAATGGTATTCATAAATTTATAGCCAAAATTGATTTCAGGCCCCAAAATAAACCCAAATAAATGCAAAACATAATCATTCAGACTCTCCATACGCCTTAACACTTTCTTCATCCCTCAACTGTTGAACTAAATTGCCTAAACCAAGATCTAGCAAAAAATGAGCTCCACCTTAAACTAAACACAAACATAAACCCAAAACAAAATCTATAACCCCTCCTTAACCCACTTAGACAAAAGGTCCTTAAGAAATTTCATCATGAATCCATTCATATCTTCTTCTCTTTATCTTCATTCTTCTTTTCTACCAATTGTTTCCTTCTCAATAATTAAAATAAGAACATTCATCATATTCATCACTTTTGATACCTCGCTGGACGTAACAGGTTGAAATCATTTGGCATGCAGAAGCACTTAATAAATGCTAAATGTTTGATTTAGTAGAATGTAAACTAAACACTAGGATGTAGAGAAAATACCTCGCTAATGTGTGGCAACATGATTAAGAATTTGTTGAATGGAAGAGTTAGCAAATTTCAACAAAGAAACATTACCTTCAGAGGAAACAAGGAAATCCTCCCAGAGAGGGCTCAAGTTTGTGCCAACAAATGTCCTGATTGATAAATAAACCTTAGAAAAGCATTTTGATGCGGAAAAATGCATTGTGCGTCATTTTTAATAATTTTGAAAATTGCATAGCTTGATAAACTCAAAAGAATGTTAACTTATAATACTCAATAAATACTGCTAAATAATATCCAATACATCTTACACTTCTACAACATTTAAGAATCAAAATTAACTAAGAATAGGTGATATAATACACCCGATACGTTTTATTTCAAAAATAATTCACATTCATATATATCAAGAAGCGGGGAAATCATATCATCAAAATATGTATGTCTATATAGAGCTACTAAATCCAAAAGTCTGAATAAGCTCCTAAAACTATGAAATGCAAAAGTTGTACCAATCACACTAGCTACTCGCTCTGGTGCTCCTTAATCATTCCTGAAATTCAGCAACGTAGAGTGGGCTACAACAAGTTCAGTGAAATAATCAAGATTAAAATAAGATTTTATGGACGGAAAAGAAACAAAATGTATGTTTATATGCAACTCGTATACAAGTCCACAACACATCTACAACATGTTATAATCGTATAAAATGTTAAAAAGAAAAGAATATAAAATAGGGAATTATGATTGTTGTATAAAACATATATTTCATCCATTCATATGTAATCATAAGTATATACATAAGATCTATCAATCTAATCATAGGAATATCATTTGTAATTTGAAAAAGAAAAGAATATAAAATAGGGAATTATGACTGTTGTATAAAACATATATTTCATCCATTCATATGTAATCATAAGTATATACATAAGATCTATCAATCTAATCATAGGAATATCATTTGTAATTTTGTAGGTCTCAATTATTTTCACGTTCTGTCATGTCATGGGTTGTCACACTGTCTAAATGTTATATTAGTTATCGATAAAGATTGGGCTCCTCCCAACATAATAGTTTATCAATAGCCCTCTCGTACCAAGTTTTCCTACATTATGTCCCCATTTGATCTCAATGGTTCCCGGAGCTATCTCTTTTTAAATATCAGGAGTCGGGAATCTCATCGTCCCCTATCATCCCTGCTTGCAATTATTCATATAATAACCTACTATAATAAGCATTTCATCTAATATATGTATGAATTATAATACATGAATATCTGCAAGTAATGATTTCTTAAGCATGTTCATCGGATTCATAACATAGTAAAATCATAAGTATCGTAAGTGATAAATCAAGTCTGCATTGTTACATTTTATGCATGTATAGATCCACAATTTACAGAAAATTATAGTTGCAATAATGTCAAACACATAATCACATTTAAACCTACATAGACTTATTTTCTTAACTTAGCAAAGAATTTTTTTATTGAATTCAAAGAGCATCCATACGACAAGTATTCTCAAGCTCGTCTTGAGGTCGTCGCCTGGTGTATGCAACGTGGAATTGTGGTTTTCCCAAAAATTCGTGAAATTCTCAGTGTATGTCTTAACTTAACTTTAAACATATTTCATTGTCAAAACTTACCTCAAATGAACTTACCTACATAAATCTTATTTTCCTAATACCTTCCTAATTCTTTTTCCTCCCTTCTCCTTATCCTTTCTCTGTTACCTGTGGAGTGGACCTAGCTGAGAGTGTAGCTATTTGTTTGTTGGCCCTTTGATTGTTCACGCCTAGCCATAGTAGCACCAAATCACGAAGGCTTCAATTTACGGTAAATGTCAAAGGTAAGTCGTAGGGAAGGAAAGGAATGCCTAAAATATTGTGAAATAAGGTTTTCCTGCTCATGATTTTCTCCCAGAGCTTCCAGTCATGAGTTGCAGTTCCTTGCAGGTCGCACGGCTACACCTACTATAATCAGAGTCACGACATCTCTTCAGCCCCGCAAAAACGAGATCTATTCAGTCCCGCAAAACCGAGATCAGGGATAGGGAATGGGAGATTACGAAACATCCTATACATTTATTTACCCCCCACAATTAAGCCCAGCCCTCCAAACTCATCCAGTCATTGCATGAACAATTTAATGTGGGAGAGGGTCGACCGCGAATAGTAATGAGATTATGGGATTTAAATAAGGATTTAATTAAGGTTAATTAAGCTAATACTCGTAACAATTTATATCTCCACATATATTTACAATTAATGCATAGTTTTATATATCAAATTGATCGAGTTAACGTGTAGAATTTTATAAAATTGATTTGATCAAATTCTGAGGGATCCCAAATTTGGTTGTTACAATACGCTAGTTTTCAGCTACAAAATCTAGCATGCAAAATCATTGTATTTTTGTAACAACTCATGTTGGTTACATCAAAATTATGAATATTCTGTTATGCATCTCAAATTGCATGACTGAGATAGCTTGAAGCTAGAGAAAAAATATTTATGTCGACCTGCACATTCATCCGAACAAAATTGGCATGCAGTATTAAAGATTAAAAGAAAGTAAAAGAAGAATTAAATGAAAATAGTTGAAGATTCAATATACATGGCATACAACCCATCGGGATTATATCAAAATAATTGAAATATTTTCTTTTCATGCACTTATATACTTTCATTATCACCATTCAAACTTTTCCGTAGGTGGTTCCTCATCTTTCCAAAACCACCCAGATAGAAATAATCTGATGACAGTAAATCACTATTTATTTTCCCAAATTGGTAAACACCATCCTTACAAGGCAACACAAGAAGCATACGCAGGATCTGAAAATTCATACCCTTCTATTCATAAAAATGGCTTCAAGTTGAATTTTCTAGAGACAAATCAAATATCAAACGAAGCATTGCCCGATATTTTCGCCCTCTAAACAGTCCTTGTAGATTTTTTATGGATGTTTATTTCTTTGTGATACCGGAGTTAACCCAAACCACAACCAGATGATCAAATATTTTATTGTTGAATTCAAAAAGTTTAAACGACGACTCTCAACATAAAATAACACCGACATGCAAACTATCAACCAACAAGGATGACTCCTCAAACAAGACTAAACAACACGAAATAAAATGATAGAAAACACATAACAACACTCTCATGTCGAGGACGGCAGGTTCGGCTGGAAAGGAAGGGGCGTGGTAATGTCGGAGCGAGCAGAGAGCAATGGTGCAAACTGGAAGCTACCCCAGCAATCCCTGAGTGATCAAGGACGTCTAGTAGCAACCCAAAGTGGTATTGTAAGGAAGACGGCCTGTTGGAAGGGAGCAAGGAAGTCTAGTTGCAGTTGGAGGTGCGACCTGCAAGGCAATCCTAGTAGAGGCAATCCTAGTAGAGGTTAGAGGGCCCGCGACCTGCTAGAAGAGAGCAAGGAAGTCTAGCAACAATCTAGAAGAGACTAGAGGTGGTGCGATCTACTGGAAGGGAGCAGTGGAGTCTGACGGCTACTAGAAGGTGTTGGGGGAGGTGCAGCCTGCTGGAAGGGACCAGGGAAGATCTTGTGGCTGCTAAAAGAGAGGCAATAGAAAGAAGTTGCAAGTATAAGTATCTCGGCGGGGTTGAGCAACAGTCGGAGCACCTTCCCGCCGTCGCCCTCGGAAAGAAAGAATGTCTCAAAGGCAGCAAACTGAAATCTGGAATCAACAAAAATTGGTTATCCCTAGGCAAACACAACAAATATATAATGGATCCTAACAATAAGAATAGGAAGGGATTGGAATATGAAAATGAATAGAGTTTAGGTAATGGAATTGGAAAAAGAACTCTCTATGAAAGAACTGGAATAAAAAAGGAGAGGGGGGAGGGGAGGTAACTCTCGTCCTTTAGAGGGCCCGGCAGATCCAGCACTTGGTCGGTCTAACACATGGCCGATTTAGCCAGCTCCCTACACCCGTGTCACGTTGCCTATCAAAAATACCTTTTATTTGATAACTCGTACTCTAAGATATTACATACATATATGCATGCATACATCCCTACATACATACATATGTATGTGTATATGTATCTATATATGTAATTTTAATCAATTATTTAGCTTAACTAAACTTTTAATATAGTTTAAGATAATGATGACATAAACTGCATTTCATAAGGATTAATAGAATTTAAATGGGTCATAATTAATAGCAAAAAAATGGAATAGGATTGCTTTAGCTTTCCAATGATATGTAAATGGTATAAATCAGACGAAATGAGATATTTATGCATGAAATATTGAGAATGTGTTTATTTTCAAATAGAATGTAACTTAATTGATTTCGATAATGATTTGTTCTATTATATTCGTGATTATTAGTTGTTTTGACCCTTTTAGCAATTTTTTTTCGTTTCTCACACCTCTAATTTTCATCATACTCTCGCATAGTGAATGTTTATTTCGCTTGTTCTAGTGTGGTGACTTTAGTGTTGCACGGATCTTTAATGAGTAATTTTGATATTTTGAAAATGATGACATAATTTGATTTGGAAAACAAGCAATCATTGAGTAACTTTCCTAACACGCGCACGTGGCATATTGAGGAGATTCCTTGTGATGCTATAGCCATCTTTCAGTGACGATATCATATTCAATCAAGATAATTCAAAACAAATATTAAAGCCAACAACACAATAAAACATTTTAAGAAAAGCTTTCCTCAGTTTTTTTTACACGCTAGTGGGCAAATAATATATGAAAAAAGAATGGCTCTTTCCAAATAAGGAAAAACAATATATGAGGACAAGGAAAACATAGGCATAGAACCTGTAATCTGTTAGACCCAATTGAAGGCATAAAGAGGATTTATTGCCACCCTCTGCATGATGAAGTGTGTATCCCCCATACTATAAATCAGAACAAATACAATGTCAGAAGCATCAAAGAATCTAAAAAGAAAAAAAAAACATGAGCCTATGATGGCCCCACCAAAACAGGATACGCCACTTTGAACAAATGAATCTTCCATTTTTAAATAGGTTCGGCAGTATTGCTTCAGCATAATAAGCATGCACAGGTGCTTTGATCAACCAAATGCTTCAATGAAACCTTGTTTGCACCAAACAAGAGTTGTGACGGCAGATCTATATGGTATTACTGCCTCAGAATAAATGAATAGATTCCATTCTTTAAAACGTCAAGCATGTTGTTAAATTATAAAAAGTAAGAAGATCTTATTGATGTTTCCATAATAGGCATTCAAGGAAACCAAAATTTTCGTTTCTGATTTTTATTGTCCAAAGACTCTTTTAAGTTAATGGACTGTAAATTCGGTATGTCTAGTCTGATTAGTTTCATGCCTGAGATACCATTGTGCTGCTGGAGCGCACAAGAATGCAGAACTGTTATAGGCGAACGCAGAGTGGAATCCCGTGATCTCCGGCGATCACGAGATTGAACGGGAGAGTTTTGCGCTCGTCAAATGTCTATAGTGGGATTTTCTTGCTACGTTGCTGCACCTACCTCTTTGGCCCCTTTTTTTTAATACTATTTTACTTAGAACTAAGGTTATTTTGAGAGGAAACTATTTATATGTTATTATTTTCAAGTTTTGGAGAATTTTTTAATCCTTTTTTTTTTTTTTTAATTTGGAGATCATTTCTCATGTTTTCTCCTATTTGGAGAGTTCTAGTCTACTTTTCTTCAAGTGGTGAATCAATATCTTAAAGAGAACAAAAGGTTGTATATCACCATTTGGCTGCACATTGCCGGACAACTATCGAACTCTTGTTCCTACGGAACATGCAGTTTCTTGTTCAATGGTAGCTTTTTGCCATTCCCCAACCATCGTTGTTGTTTTCACATCATTTCTTTATCCTACAACCCTCCTAAACCATCTCCTAATCTTCCCACACCAATTAGTTGCCCTAATTCGGTGTCATCTGATATCAGGGACTGACAAGCCATAAATCTCTAGGAATTTTATTTTTCTCACTCCAAAACCTCTACATAACTTAATCTAATACCTCCACCAAAAAACATTTCCCCATCTTCCACCTAGCCCTAACCCTAACCCACCCTACCTTAAACCACCTTTTTTTTAGTTGAATTTTGATTGGAAAAAAGAGACACCATATTGTCAAGGAGAAATACGCAAAAAGGAGTTCAGGAATTACAACTGAATACATGCAAAGAGAGTTCCTCCAACTGCAACAAAAGCTTGTCACCATTTAGAGGAGACAAGTAGAAGAGGTCACCCATATCATAACCACAATGGTGACACACTTGAACATTCCACAAATACATTTCTAGTGATGAGGAACTAATACCCCGATAATTTAACATTGAATATCAGAGAAGAAGCCAAAATTTTATAATGAAAATTAACTTGTTGACAGACGTTTAGATCCAAATGAATTTATTGAGTGGCTACTAACAGGGAACAAATTTTGTAGTACAATGACAATGACGTTCCTCAGAAGAAGCGAGCTAGATTAGAAGCTACCAAACCAAGAAAGAGCATGTCAATATGTTGGGAGAATTTGAAGCATCTTGGATAGCGAAAAGAAAAAACAAGATCATCACATGGTCCAAAATTAAAAAGGAAATGGAATACAAATATATTCCCTATGCTACCAACATGATATGTTCTTAAAACTATGAAACTAGCGCCAAAGAGGTTCTTCTATGGATTACACAACCGAATTTGATCAACTCATAATGAAAAGTAAGTTGGTGGAACAAGAGGAGCAAGGAGTAGAAAGATATCTTCGAGGATTGAAGCTATATATCAGCAATGTAGTTCAGTCGCAACATTATTGGTCCATAATCGAATTACAAATCCTAACTTTAAAAGGGAGAAGAAACAACATCAATAGGGAACCACCGCACCTTAAAGACACGTCTCGACCTCAAGATCAAACAGTAAGAACGCGCACAAAAGAACACCCAAATCGGCCTCTTGCTAAGAAAAATCAAGGGTAAATAAAATGCGGCTTTCACTAGCACTCCTAAACAATTCCTAACTAGAAAGCACTTGAGGCGCCACGATCTTAGACAAATTTCATTCAAATGCCCAAATAAAATAGCGATCTCTCTCACTGAATAAGAAATAGAGGAAGTAATGAACAATGACGTTGGAGGAAATGAGAATGTCGAGGAGGATCTGACGAGAGAGAGATCTTAATTATTTGATGAATCCTTCAAATTAAGCCTAAGAGAGAGCAATAGTGGCTCCACCATAACACCTTTCATATAAGTTGCAACATGAAAGGAAAGGTGTGTAATCCTATCATAAACGCAGGCAACTCTGAGGACGTGGTGTCTATCTGAATGGTCTACAAGTCGAACATTGTCGTGCAAAAGCACACCTGACCTTACTTTATGTCATGTTTGAAGAAAGATAATGAGATCACAGTTGATCGTGGAGTTCATTATTGGAGACAAGTCTTAGAAGCATGTGTGATGTGACGTGATATATATGGATACTTGTCACATCCTATTAAGTCATCCTTGGTAGCACGACTGTTACACACATTATGATGGTTACACGACATATTCTTTCACCAAGGATGAGAAATGCATCGAACTTTTATCGTGGAAGGAGTCTGAGGTAATGCACGTTCATACAAAATTTGAAAATATGATGTCATAAGTTATCTTTTTGTAAGCCTTAAGAGAAACACCAGTAGGACTAATATGGGTGGTCCAAAAAATCGACTAGTTGGAGAAACACATACAAGACACTAGGCAATCTCTATTGAGAGAACTTTGGGATGCATTGATCGATAGTCTACCTCATAGAGTACCACGACTAAGGGAAATCGAGCATGCCAAAAAAATCATTTCAAAATCTATTCTTTCAAACTGACCCGACTACGGGATGCGGCTAGCCGAGTATGAGAAGCTACAAAAGCAAGTTACAAACTTGAGGGCTAGAATTTTTGTTCGTGAGAATTAGCCCATACACAGTCCCAGCTTAAAGAATGATAGCTATTTATTCTACCATTGTAGATTTTGAAATTTCATGTCATATTTGGTGAATATGAGCAAAAAGTGTGGTGGGGTTGCCCTAGACACAATAAAGCAATGAATTTTTCATGCTAGTAGTAGATTAATCCCAAAAATTTCCAAAATAAAACAAAGCATCTCACACTTGAGAAGAATGACATGGGGAGCATCCCAGGAACACGAGAACGCATTCAAGGCAAACAAAACAGCAGGATCTTGCGATCTCCCACAATTTCGAAATCGAACGGGCAAGATTTTAACCCATGGAATCCTTGTAATGGGATTTTCCTGCTACTTTGCCATACCAACCCTTGTGGGTCCCTCTTTTTAATAGTATTGTAATTAGGATCATGATTTTTTTATAAGGAAAATATTTATATTTTATTATTTTCTAATTTTAGAGACTTTTTGCTTTGATTTATATTATTTGGAGAACATTTCTCCTTGTTGTCTCCTATTTTGAGAATTATAGCCTATTTTTTCAAGTGCTGAACATGTATCTTAAAGAGAAAAGGTGGTGGGTTATCCTCAATATATGTAACTAACCATTTCGTTGTTGGCATCAAGGTTTTTAGGTCGGATAGTCGTTAATATGTTGTTTCAACGTGTAATTTACTATCCAACAATAATTTTTCGTCGTTCCTCAACCACGGTTGCTGTTTCCACGTTCATTCTTTATCCTACAACCCTCTCTCCTAACCTTCTAGCACTTACTAGTTACCCTAGTTTAATGTTACATGTTTACTTTATTATTGAGTGAAGAGATATATTCTTTTTTAATTGGGCGTGAAGTTTCTACTTAAGTTATCAGAGTATCAATTTATGTGGCTCCGACAACACTTCTAAATATGTGTCGTGCCCCTGTTGGACATGTATCGGACACTGAAACTTGCTCAACACACCGGACACTAGTCTACAAAATATGAGTATGAATTTTTTTCGGGCCCAAACACATTCGGGGCACACTTGGCACCGCATCGGATTTGAGTTCAGCACAATTTGGAAAAAAAATGGGACACAGTAAGTATAAAATTATATATTTACGTATGACCCTAATTATACCTCAGTTGAAGTTGTCTCCTCTCTCGTCATGTCAAAGCTCCCCCTAATATTCAACAAAATCAAACATTTATGGGGCATATAATATTTATCAAAGTTGAGCATCAGTAGTTCTCTCTTTATTTGTCGAAATCAAGCACTAAAGATCCATCCTACATTCATTGAAGTCGAGAGTTGTAGTTTTATTTTGTTCATCAAAACCAAAATTGCACCTGTTAAAGTGGTAACCGTAAGCTTTTTTGTCGTAACCTGAGCAAGGTCAAACATGTTCGTAGAAGTCATCGAAATATCCCGTGAACATTACGATGTTTGAACTGAAGCTTCTATTCATCTGAGCCAAGTAGTCAAAACCTTCTTAGTTTTGTAAGTCATAATTTATATATTTTTCTCTTTAATGGTTAATAGTTATAAATCTATACTTATTCTAATTCTAAATGTTAAATTTTAACTTAATGAATTAAATAATGTGTAACCGTAGGATATTTTAAATTTTAATAGATAAGATAGAAAAATTCTTTTAAAATATATTATGTCTAAATTTAAAAATGAATTTCTATAAGCAAGACGTTTCATAATACAAATTAAATTTTATTCCTGCATACTTTATTTAGTGATGTCTTTAATAAAGAATACTGAAAAATAAAAATTTTATATTAAAAATTAATTAAATATTAAAATGTGTCCATTTTATGCAATGCCTTATTTTTTTCAATTATGTTTTATCCCCATATCGTGTCATGTTGTGTCTGTGCATCATAAGTTGCATAATTTCTCCAAAAAATTTTATTTCTTCCTCTTTCAAGCATTACACATTGCTACATATATATAATGAGGAAAA